GAGCGTAGCTAGCACCAGTCTGATGCATCACAGCACTTTGTATCCACACCCACTACACTAAATTAATTCACCATACTCAAATATACAGCACAGGTGAATACACATGCAACACACAAGAAAATTACATGGGGTTGGCAATGGCTTCTTATTTTGCCAGGGAACTTACTGGCTTGGATGGATGACTCAATAAAACTTCAGGGTGCTAAAGGGAGAAAGAGGATAGGAAAAGATGGGGAGAGTTGGGGATAGGAGACAGGAGTGTGAGAGAAAAAAAAAAGATGCAACAAAAAAATAGTTTTAAAAATAGCTACATCTTGTATTTAACAAGAAGACAATCTCAACGTGCGAGTTTGCACGCATTACTAAGCAGCTTTTGAAACAAGAGAAATGTTGGAAGTTACCCTTGTCTGAGTTCTAAACTTCATCTTCATTTCTTATTATAAAACAGTTTTGTCAAGTACTCAAATACTTATTGTACTCCTCTGTTTGGGTTTAGGTGACAGTTTTACAGGTGGCAGGACTTCAATTTCTAGGGTTTCATTGTGTCAATCACAAGACCACTAAATAGTTTGGGAAAATACTTCAGCAACTGACACTATCTGAATGCTGAAACCAGTTGCTGAGTTTTTACTTTTGTTCCTAATAGAGAACCTGATTTCCCTGGCAGCCTTTTTCACCCTAGGTTGCTATACTGCAAACACATTTATCACCCTTTAAGAAGAATATAAAAATTCATAACCTTCTGCGAACATGTGAAAAAGGTTTTATCGTTTCTAGTTCATCTACTAATGTATCTGTAATACTTTCAGTTGTAACAGGGAATCCTTATTCACAAAAATGAAAGAACACAAGAGCCAGTATAAGACTAACCACACCAAATCTTCGGAAACATGCAAATTGGGTCAACACTTCATTCAGACATTTTTTCCTGTCTTCTAAAAGGTATTATCCTTCTTAATTTGAAAGTAGAAGACCGCAGCAGAAAAAAAAAAAATCTAAAAAAAAAAAAAAAGCAACTTGTAAGTGAGCCCAACGAATCTAGAGGTATTTTCCTGGCAAGGAATCACTGTTAACTTTCTTTTATGTAAAGTCTCCAGAACAGCACCAAAGGGAACTTGGTTAACATATGGTTTGGGATTCTTTCTTCTCTCTAACCTTGATCTCTTTCAAATGAATAAAATTTCCAGAGGGAGAAAAACTATTCACTGGAAACGAAAACGGACAAAGACCTGCTCATCTTTGCTGAACACATTCTAGTGTTAGGAGGTCTCCTCCAGATTAGAAAAGCAAAATGAAACAAAGCACATTGCCTGAGAAAGATCAGACACAAAAGGCTAGGAAGAGGTTGTCCTTAAAATAACTAGAAGAAAACTTGTTCACTAGAAAAATATTACCATTGCACTTCACATAAAAAACACCTTAGAGAGAAATGCTTGGAGAGAACACTTGTGTGTGATTTCCCTCTAATGACTCCACCTCAGCATAAAAGGGGACTATTTAAGGCATGACACCAGACCAGGTACACTCAGCAGTGAGGTATGGCTTTCTTTCAGCACTCAGTATCTCCTTGTGGTAGGCTGACAGCTGCGCAAAGAAGCAGGGGCAATAGAATAATTAGAACGTTTAGCACACAGATTTCCATAAATGTATTATTAGAAAACTAATTCCCCCATGAAACCCAGCAATGCAAAAAACACCCAAGTTCTTTAGCTACAAAAAAAGTCATTAGCAAGAAAGAGAATAGTAATAATGAGAACTGGATGGACAGAATCAGAAAACAGAGACTGCTGACACGGAAAGAAAAACAACATGAGTAACTTTTCAGCACCCCTACACACTACTTGGTTAATGATGTTTCACTTCAGAGTAATGCTAAATGGCTTTCACAGAAGTGGAAGCTTGCACTGTTAATGATTTCTTTAAGACTCACTCTTTACAGATTAGCAAGAGTTTTTTTCCAAGGATCCTTATTATTTACTTATCTAATGGTTTAGCAGGGCTCCAGGGCTGCATCTTCTGAACCTTTAAGGCTAAGACTTAACTGAAAGTAAACAAATTGTTTAATAGACAAAAAGAGGCAAAAGAAATAAGATTGATGTGTGATGATAGGCACATTTCTACTCAAACCACAAGGAAAAGAACCTAGAAGGAAAAGCTTCTTGCTATTTGCTGTTAAGAGCTACAAAAGGGAATACCTCCTTCACGTGTCACGTACAAAAAATCCCACTAAAATAATATAATTATACTTAACGTAATAAAATTCTTCAGGTCATTTTTAACTCATTTTTAAACCAAATGCTATTATGTAGCCATTAGATTTAAGGGTAATTATGACAGTTATTTACAACGGTTAACAATGCAGATGTGAAAAACTGAGTTTTTAAAAGCTTTAAATTGGAGCTGGATTATCCATCATGCAATTGTTTCAAGGATGACAAGTAACTAATCCACCTTGAAAATGCCAAACTGCCTGAATAGTTAGCTGCAATGTATTTAAAGAGAGAAATGCTGTAAAAAATATTTTTCTACTTCTCTGCAAATGACAAAAAAAAAAAATTGGTAAATTAAAAACAGATGGGAAAAGGTTATTAAAGAAATACCTAAGCTTACTCATAGCTATAAAATATATTCAAGTGGTTGTTAACTGTATTTTCTTCTGTAACAAAGAGAAATTGTGACTTGGTTCTGGAAAGCAGGGAGGATCAGTGGTAGAAGTGGGATGTTTCATACAAGAAGAGGAAAGCGAGAGATAGTCAATTACATGAAAACACACAAGGTTCTATGGCTGTAATTTCTTTCTAAAAAGCCAGTCTGGACTGACTCAGTATCACCAAAAAATCTTTTAAGTCAATTTGTATTTTCCCTTAAATGAGAAAGATGTAGTAACCCAACATGTTGCAACATTTTTCGTGAGGTAAAAGGTATTGATGATTTTCTCTCTGTGAGACTTCAGAGAGTACTTTAGGCTCTCTGCAAAGGAAATAATTGCCTAATGTCCCAGCAAGCAGCTTCTGCCTGAAGCAGAGACATCCAGAGTATTAATGGTCAAGCTTTGGAATGAACATAGGTAATGGTAGGTTATGAATTTTCTTAGCTTGCATAACTGAAACCATTCTGAATGAATGAGATTAGGTTTTTGTAGGATGTACAGATGAGAACTTATTTGTGTTTACAATATAGTGAATATATACTCATTATTTTTCTCAGAACCAAATAAAGAATGCAATTGCTTGTACCATAGCTGCCCTGCCTAGGTACTTTTGATCCTTTTTCTATTTTAAGCCTCTGGAAAAGAATATATTTCATCCTCCTAATTATTTCCTGAAACAAAAGGAATAGATAATAAAAAGATATGTTTTCATGAACTGGCAGTGTGTCCTTAAGTAAAGTTCCTGGATAACAGTTATTAAATACAATCTCCAAAATGAAATGAGCAGAAGTAGACCTAAAGAAATTATAAAGAGCTGCCATTGCAGGGCAAATTAAGTGCATATTCATCTTCTATCTAGCAGTGTTTCAACAGATTTTGGTCACGCTCCACACCAGCTTATGCTCAGTAGCTTATGCTACTGAGATGCTTAATGTGTGCATATAGCAAAAAAAGTGATCTCTGGGGAAGCAGTGAAAAGCAGTACATTCACAAACATGCAATATAAAATCACATTACCTAAATAATTGAATTTCCACAACTGTTATTCCTTAACTTCGTTTGTTATGTACTCTCTCTCTCAGTTAATACTACGTATATATACTTATAAGTAATTACACTTACAAATAATTTTAACTACATGCGTATCCACAAATTATTACTATCGTCCAGCTGCTACAATAACCTCTGGTGAATCTTTGCTACAATATATTACTCATCTCATTATTATTAACAAACTGACAAGGGTGAAATGCTAATTCAAAAGAAAGTGCCCTAATTCATGTCCTAATACTGATTCATTCATGTTGAAAACAGCCTGAGAGATTGATCAAATGTGCACAACTACTCATTCCTGACGTTTTATTTTGCTGACCAACAGAACTGTTTAATTTGTGGAGCAGAATTAAAAAGGGAAACTAAGGATCTAGATAAGCTTAACTGTAGAATTCTCAAGTGCATTAAAATCTACTCAACAGACTTGCCAAGCAGCACTTAATTGTAGCCTCTAAACTTAAGCTCATATTCATCTGAAGAACGAGGACAGAGTTTCAGACCAGACAGAGCACAGACACACCTCATTTTCCTGGCTAGATGTAAAGAAATAGATATGACTCAGTAATCCAAGACTTAAATTTCTTTAAAATGCTGTATTTTGTCTTATTCTAATTTTACAAGCACAAGGATTATCAATATTTCAGTTAATGTGTTTTGTACTCTTTCATTAAAATCAAATCAATACTCCTCTAAAGGTGTAATATATGGGCTATTCATATCTGAAGTACAGATAACTTGCATGATTATGTTCAAATAAATTAGCTTGCCTGTAAGAGTGTACCACTCTGCTAAACTGCACACTCCTACAAACTTTCCATCTGTGACTCACAGTGAGATTAAAACAAGGGATCAGACACCTCACTGGTGACATACCCATTTGTTATTACACGTTCCCACGTGCCACTCATGCACCTGCATTTATCACATTAACACCTACATATGTTGACAATTTAGATGCAAAATGTTTGGCTGTTGAAATTCTAGTTGTTACACCAATTTAATAGGACAGTTACTAGTGGAGACTGTACTGAAGCAGACTAACTTTCTAATTTCTTGCACCTGCTAAAATATACACAGTCAATAGTACCAGCATTGCATGCAAATGAAGTTCAAAATTAGCAGCAGTGCCTGAAAGTTACTTTCTGATAGACTTGGCTTGTAATACTGTTTGCATGGACACAATTTCAAAGTATTTACTGAAAAGCAATTTACAAACCCAATTTTTTCAGTGTAAATGTATCCAATCTATGTAACATTGGATATTTACCTTACATATATAAATATGAAGTAAGATTACCTTCTTCAATTGAGTTTCCATTTTCAAACATTCTTCCTTTTTCTGTTCCAATGCAATTTCCAGTGTCTTAAGCCTTGAATCTTTCTTCAGTCCTGATGAAGCTAAGGATGAAGCATGCTCCTTCAGATCCAGTAAGGATGACTAAAATAAAAGATGTAAAATAACTAACAAATAAATACTCCATACGTACAATAGCTAGGTTTTGTGGTTTTGTTTTTTTTTGGTTTTTTTTTGTCATCATTTTCTTCTTATCCCTTCACATGATGCTGAGGATCAACTTAGAAAAACATACTATGTTGGAATTTTTTTGGATGTTCACAGAGCTGGCTTAAGGCAGCTTGATTTAATTCAAGTTCTCAGAGTCAAAATGAAACCTTGTCTAAATCCATTTAAAAATTATTTTTAAGGACAGAACATTCTGCAAACTATAGCTTTTCAGCGATAGTCAAATTTAAGAAAAAAACTGTTTTTATCTGTTTTTATCTGTTTTTATCTGTATTTTTTTTATCTGTTTTTAAAGAAAACCATCTTAAAAAATCATATACATTTAGCAGATTTGGTCACTGTATATAAAACAGAGATTGCAGAAAGTTTTTTTTCCACAGAACTGTTAGGGCATGACACTGACTCGTGCAATTTATCTTCAAAAGACATCTCAACTTCTTATTTTCTTAACAGTTTTGTTTTTTTTTCTTCCTGAATTTCACTTCTATGTGCACAAAAATTGTAGCACTTGCCTGGTACCTTTTTTATCCTTTTCATTTGATTGAGTTGTGAAAGATGACTGAAGTAGACCTGAATATTAGAATTCCAAGAGAGGAACATGGAACTTACATATTTCTCTAATACAACTCAGTTGACTTCTCCAGCCAGTTGGTTCTTTAAAAACAACCAACTTAATTACCAAAAATGGACTCTTGACAGGAAAAAGAATAAATTCTATTATTTACACAAATGCATGAACACTAGCCACTATATGTATACATTCTCTGACCTACCTGGAGCTTCAATCTACTTGTGTTCTTCCCTTCCTATATTTAGACATAAACAAGCTTGTTCTCACCTTCCGTAAGTATTGCTCCAGTAAACTCATTGCTGACCAGTGGTATTCACTGGCAATAAGATTAGCTGCTGCTAATAATGGGACTGTGCTATCCATGAAAAAGATGGTTCTGCAATATTTATGCTTTGAGAAATTCTCAAACAATATATTTTACTAGATAAACTTGTTGAAGGACCGTTACAATGAAGGAAGAGTTATCTTCACCTAAAATATAACATACAGCAAAATGTAATACAACAGATTTATTTTGCTGGTTAACCTCTTTCTCTGTGAGATCTCCTTGTAAAATGCCGACTTTCTCTTTCAGGTCCTTAATGTCTTTTTTGTAGGTGTCAATCTCTTCCTGTTTTTCTCGTTCATCTCTGTCCCGTTGCTCCTTTAGGCGCTCAATGGTCCTTTCCTGACAAGAGAAAGCAGCCTGTGAGGACAATCCCCCATATTCTTTCAACTTCTAATGTAATTCAACACTTCTTACACACTGATGTTTGTTGGATATTGTCATTTTCTTCTCTACTGCTGTATAATAGATCCTCAAGAAGGAAAACAGTTGACTTGAAAAATCTGTGCATTCATTGCTAAGAAGTATCAGGCTTTCTGTACAGTTGAAAGTTTACAGTACTGTTACAATACAACAAAATTTATCTGGTTCTGATAACCAGAATTAACCCAGAGGATACGGTATATACTGTTTCCTTACTATTTAAACCTATTTTCTAGAAGCATAGAGGCCCTTCACAGAAGAAGGAGGTAGTGCATATATGAGAGCACGATCAATATGTGGCAGGCAATAAAACAACAATTTAGTATGCCAGATATCAATGGAGACTTGCTTATTCAGAAAGCTGAAGGGTTGCAAGTGAACACCTTAACCTTAGCAAAGCTTTACCATAGCATTTACATTGATAGGATCTGACAGACTAATGGCACCATAACCTTGGTTCTCTGAGAATCAAGAAAAAAATACAAGAATTCTAAAAAGTTGCCAAACCAAAACAGAGCAGACAAGGCTGCTCCCTCAGTCAGCTATCTCCTGAGAACTGAGCAAACAGAAAACAAAACACACCAAGAATGATAAAAGTGCAAATAAAGTGAGACTGAAATGCAGACATCCACAACAGTACCAAAGATGTACCACGCAAATAGATGACAGCACGAGCAGCACCCCTGTAGAATGTGGTAAGACAAAGAGCACAGTTTTGTTTCATACAAGATGATGATAATTAGCTAATGGCTGTAGAGAACCGGTTCATGGCTCAGCTCCACCCTCCTGCCTCTCTGGAGCATTTTGCCCACACTGTGGATACCACACAGTACAGGCTGCACTCAGAATATCCTACAGTGCCCTCTTGTGAGAGATGTCTCTAAGCAGCAGCATCACGCTGATTCTTCTTGCAGACAAAGGACTTGATGCTGCATTAAGGATTTCTTTTATGCATAGTCCAATCAGCACATAGGAAAGCCGACTGTAGCAAGGCTGTGAGCAGAAGGACCTTCAGCACTGAGAGATTGCAGCTTGCCATACTCACTTTTTCTGCAAGTGCTTCTTCCAGCGTGGTCAAGGCAGTGTCAGTATTGGTGGTGTCAGCCTGCAAGGATTTCACTCGATCCTTTAAACTGCTCATTTGCTTTTCCTTGTCTCTTAGCTGCTCTTGAAGATTTTCAATCTTAAAGAAGAAAAGCAGATTTTAAGAAAACAGTTATTAGTTCCATCCAAATCCTCTTAGAAGTGCACGAAACTCTTTAAAACGTTCTCAAAACAAAGAAAACAAATGAGGACATAATACTTGTAATCCTACATGGAAACATCAAGCAATGCAATCAAAATCATCAAGTATAATAAAGAACCAGCAACATTTTCAGGAACTGGAAGAGAACTCAGAGCAAGAAAGTGTAACTGTTCCCCAAGAAAATCAATCAATCAATCAAAGAGTATGTCTGATTTCTGACGATGTCAGGTACTGTGTGACTGAAGGAAACTACCACATTTGATATTTACAAAAAAATGCTGCTGTAATAACAATATAAAAGAGTAAAAGCTCAAAACAAAATAAACAAAAAACCCATTACTACCGATATAAACAAGAAAAGACTCTTGAGAAGTTGTGAAGTAGTATTCTCCTAAGTACTTCCCTTGCTACCAACACATTCTCCACTGCTGTTTTTCATAGCATCATAGAATCCTTGGAGTTGGAAGGGACCCTTAAAAGCCATCTGGTCCAACCCCCCTGCAGTGAACAGGGACACCCACAGGTAGATCAGGTTGCTCAGAGCCCCGTCCAGCCTGACCTTGGGTGTCTCCAGGGATGGAGCATCCACCACCTCTCTGGGCAGCCTGTGCCAGTGCCTCGCCACCCTGATCGTAAAATACTTCTTCTTTATATTCAATCTAAATCTCCTCTCATACTAAAAGAGTATGAAACCATTTCTCCTTGTTCTGTAACCACAGTTCTTGCTAAAGAGTCTGTCCCCTTCTTTCCTGTAGCTTCCCTTTAGATACTGAAAGGCAGCTATCGGGTTACCTTGGAGCCTCTCAAGTATTTTGCTATACGGTGTACTAACAAAAGACATCACTGTCAGGACAGAAAATATACAGGATTTGTTTTCTGCAGTTGCACAATTCAGTCTATTTAAGAGTTCTGAACATATCTTTTGACAGATCAAGAAGACCAAGTGCTGAACTCATATTATGCATACACACACTTCACAAGGAACAGACACATTAGCACATACTGGTCACCTGTAGAAAAATTTATCAGAACAACATTAAACTGGGTACAGAATTTTCCTTCTGCACTTGCTGCTGGCAGATTCATCTTGCATCAGCAAACGTATATTGTAGGCTGGAGAATGACATGTGGCATCTAAGGTACCTATCTTCCAAACATTTGTGACAAAATATTCTTTTAAATCAATTTATGCAACAAGACAACCCCAGTGGTTTAGTCCAGTATTTAGGAAACTTTTTGAAAGCATTACCAGCGTTTTTGCTTCACTTGTCTAACAGCAGTTAGAAGGTCATCAAATATCCCCATTTCTTTCTTTTGACCCTAGAAAGACTGAGCTGCTGTGATTACAGAGCAAATAGTTATTTAGAACCATCAAATACTACTCTGCTCCCTATTACAATCACATCTGGACTAGTGGTTTAGAAAATAGTCTAGATAAGTAAAGATATGTCTAAAATATTTTGTAGGAGGCTAAACACCCAGTCACAAAAAGTGGTAAATGCATTACACATGAAAGCTAAGAGAAAGAACCACCTCCTAATCCAGACAAACCTTTACTAACGGTCCTTAGTAACCCAGGGCCACTGAAAAAGTCTCCTGGTAGAACATTCTCTATCAGGTTGGTGTTTTTTATTTCTCTTATGCAAGCACATGTAAACTTATGATCCAGCTTTGTACACAATCTATGTCTTATTGATAGCAGAGCTGTGTGTGAACATATGTATATATTTATTTCAATTTTTAAGGAATGGACTGAAATTGATCTTAGTTTATCTTCGTCATTATTTCCTCAGAGAGGAAAAGCATTAGGCTTCCAAGTTTTTCTCAAAGTTTAAGACTGAGCACAGTACAAGTAACACCATAAAGCAAATTTTGAAAAGCACCAAAAAAAAGCAGACTCTGCAATAACCATAAATTCCTGCTTCTTTTTAAATGTGTATTATTTAACGTGCCACTAGCATAGGCTTGGAGCACAGGGAGCTTCAGAGACAGCTCAGCTGTTCTGAATGAGAAGCTCTACTGGCGCCCACCTATGCAGACACCAACGATGTAACATCCCTGAGAGCAGCCTACGTGGCTGCATCTGACCGTAGGAGCTTTCAGTGTCGTCAGCTGTCTAGACAGCCTGGCTGTTTAGACAGCCAACCATGAAAATATACTACAAAGAAGTGTGAGCTATACTTAGACTTGTGTTTACTTCTGGAGGCGAAATGCTCCAGCAAAGGCTCCAAGTGGCTGGAGAGGGGACTAAGTGACTTTCTGTTGTGACCAAACTGCACACAAGAGACAGCTAAATAATTCAGAGCCAGCACATGGAAGATACTTGCCAAAGCAGCACAAGCATTTGCACAAGCACAGCAGACATTTACATGTTTCAGTAACTCTATTTACCGTGATGAGAAAAAAGTGATGGCTATGTATTAGTACTATAACTGAAGCATAGTCCCACTTCAACAGCATTCTCTGGCACAAAAAAAAATGCTGTGTATAAAAAGGGTGAATTTGTCTATTCTTTCATGCTTTGGATTCTGGACTAATGAATGTTTTCTTTCTTTATCCACCAGGGAATAGAAGATATACAAAACTGTTCCAAATCACATTAATAGACAGGAGCTATTAATAAAAATAATAAAAATATCCAACAAACCAAACAAATAAAAAACAAAGCTACTTACAGCTGTGCTGTAAGGACAGGATAACTGATGGTCCCTAACAAGAATATGCCTTTAAGCTACAGAAAACTAGCTCAACTGATGTGCCTAAACTGAAACTCTTCTATAATAACAGATGGAAAATGCCCTCTCTGAAATCACAGAAAGAACGATACAAACGTATTTATCCAGTTTGGCTACTGTAAGAAATAGAAGATAAACTATAAATTCTCCAGAATGATATAAGCTGAAGGAAAAAGAAAGAATACTCTCTACATATCCAATTAGTCAATCAACAGAAAGAATTTTACTACTACATCCTTGCCAGCACTCTGAGTCCCTTTGTCAAATAGAATACATAATATACCTCATATTTTTTTTACGGTCTTCCAATCTTAAAAATTGGGGAAAAAAAAAATTATTCTGAACAAATTCTCAAAGAACTGACAGAAATAAATCAGATTATTAAAACACTTCTATCTTTGTCCACAGTGAAAGATAAAATAAAATGTGTTGGTATCTCCAAACTCTCTGGAAAACAGAAAGGGACAAAGAATGAAGCAGCACTGTTTAGTCTGGAAACAGTTGGAAAACGGCAGATTTCCCCTGTAGTATCCTAGAAACCTAAGGAGCATACATATGTATATACATGGCAACTATCTAAATAGGAAAAATAAAAAAATATAGATTATTAATATTTTTCAGTCTTCTCATACATACTCAGTTTGCTGGGTCAAGACAGGGATCTTCTTTTAGAAGCCTAGACACTAAGCATACGTGAAGGCATATGTTCACACATTGGAATCTTCTGCATAACAGTTTCCTTTCCAATAACAATTTACTGAAATCTTTTTCTCCAGCTTTACCTGCTGTCAGGTACTATCTTGTTTCAACCTGGATGATTTACCCCTAGTTGCATAGAAGCAATTATTTCCCTTTCCACTCTGAAGTGCAGTGAGGCAAAAGAAGTCGCCTCTGGCATGCTGTTCCAAAGGCAAGCATGCACTGGTACTTCTTGCAAATACTCATTCTACTGAAAAGTCCATGCAAATGCAAGGAAGAAAAAACAGCTACATTTAATTTAATACTCATAAAGATCATTAGATTCCCAGATTCCTCTAATTACAGGTTATTAGACCCTTCATACTATCTTTCAGCCAAGAATACCTTTTGCACAACAACCATGATGCAATGTGTGTAAACAGAATATTTGAGAAGCTGATTTCTACTCTACCAGTGACTGCAATATCAGAATTAGCACAGTGGGCTTGGGAATTGGTCATTCCATTTCTTTTTTAGTTCTTTCCTGATACTGGAAAATAACTCTTTCCTCCCCCAAAATATTTGCTTTTAATCAAAGATCAACAGATTACAACTTTTTTCATCACCTGAAACCTAATTAATTGTATTTGTATTTCATTTCCAACATTCAAATTTCTCTTTTCTATTTTACTTGTCTTCTAAAAGAAATAAAGTGATAAAATAAAATAAAATAAAATAAAATAAAATAAACACGTAAAAAATAGGGTAAAACCCTATTAAATTACTTCTTTTCATTCTAAGACAATAAGGAATAGAAGTGAAACAATCCCCTTAGAAATACAAAGGTCCAACGATATTTGGGAATATATATATATATATATAAGCAAAATTTTAAATTAAAAATCTTTTTATTCAGTTTTGAGAAAGTTTCCTGCATTGAATAACTAGCTGTAGTATTTTCACCAGTAACGTGACATCTTCTCCTTAATATACACTGCACATCTGAAAGGCAATTATTGTAACACAGGACAGTTTTCCGTGATTTGTATTAGAAAAGCAAAATACCTCAACAGACTGCTACACCTCACACTTTTTCAATCCTAGGTTTCATTCAATGGGAACACTACTGTAAAAAGAATCTAAATAATCAGATGAGTTCATAGGTTTTCTAATCTTTCCCATGGAACTCCTGTCCAGATAAATAAAGCATTACATAAGGTGTAAGCTTTCCAAACAGAAAGGCTGCTCTCACATCTATCCAGAGCCTTCTCTTTCCTGTCCTCATAGGGAAGGTGTTCCATCCCTTGGATCATTTCTGTGGCCCACCTATGGATGCACTCCAACAGGCCCACATCTCTCCTGTACTGAGGACTCCACACCTGGATGCAGCACTCCAGGTGAGGTCTCAGCACTGCAGAATAGAGGGGCAGGATCACCTCCCTCACCTGTTGGCCACATTTCTTTTGACGCAGCCCAGGATACGGTTGGCTTTCTGGGCTGTGAGGGCACATTGCTGGCTCATGC